AACATTAAAATTTTAGAAAATCATCAGGTACAGGAGGCTAGGGGACTGTCTAGGGCGGGGGGAAAAATGGACACATATGTAATACCCTTTGTAATACTTTAAGCAGTAAAAAAAAAAAATGTAAAAAAGAAGAATGATTAATATCATTAAAATGTCCATGCTACCCAAAGAAATCTATGGATTCAACACAATTCCTATTAAAACACCAATGGCATATCTCACAAATCTAGAACAAATCTCCCCCAAATTTATATGGAACCAAACAAGATCCTGAATAGCCTCAAGCAATCTTGAGAAAGAAGAACAAAGTTAAAAATATCACAATACCTGATATCAAAATATACTACAATGCCATTGTAATAAAATCAGACTGTTGCTGACATAAGAAGACATGTAGATCAATAGAACCCAACAAAGATCCCAGAAATCAACCAACACCTTTAGGTCAATTAATATTTGACAAAGGAGACAAGAGCTTATAGTGGAATAAAGACAGTCTCTTCAATAAATGGTGTTAGGAAAATAGGACAAGTACATGCAAAAAATGAAAGTAGACCACCAACTCACACCATACAAAAGAATGAAATAAAAATGAATAAAAGACTTAAATGTAAGTCACAAAATCATAGAAATCCTAAGAAGAAAACAGACAGTAAAACCTCACACACCTCTCATAGCAACACTTTTGCTGATATATCTTCAAAAGCAAGGGAAACAAAGAAAAAAAAATAAACAAATCGGACTACATAAAATTAAAAAGCTTCTGTACAGCAAAAGAAACCATCATTAAAGTGAAAATGGAACCCACTGTATGGGAGAATATTTGCCAGTGCTACGTCTGATAAGGGGCCATTTCCAAAATATATAAAGAACTTATACAACTCAACAACAGGAAGACAAAAAATCCAATTTAAAAATGGGCAAAGGACCTTAATAGACATTTCTCCAAAGAGGACATACAAATAGCCAATAAACATATGATAAAATGCTTGATGTCACTAATCATCAGAACAATGTAAATTAAAACCACAATGAAGTATCACCTCACAGCTGTCAACAAACAACAGTGTTGGTGAAGATGTGGAGTAGAGGAAATCCTAGTGCACTATTGGTTGGAATGCAGACTGGTGCAGCTACTGTCAAAAGCAGTATGTTATTTCCTCAAAAAGTTAAAAATGGAACTGCCTTTTGATTCAGCAATCCCACTTCTAAGAATCACAATGCACCTCTCTGTTCATAGCATCATCATTATTACAACTAGAGGCTTGGTGCACAAAATTCGTGAGTGGGTACAGTCCCTAGGTCTAGCCTGTGATCACAGCCATCTTCCCTGGCTGCTGGCAGCCAGCCCCACTCCTAATCCCCACTCACCCGGGTTCCTAGTTTGCCATCGGGTGATCAGAGCCTGACAGCCAGGGGGGAGGGACTGAGAGGTCAGCCAGTCCTGCCCACTCATGGCCCCATGCCCATGTCATCCTCTGTGTGTGGGGTGACTGGCAGGGAGTGGGCCTTGGCCTGGTGCTGCCTGCATACCCCACCACCCACTCCCAGGTCCCCGTTTGCCATCAGGAGATGGGAGCCTGTTGGCCAGGCAAAGGGACTAAGAGGTGGTCAGTGCACCTCATAGTGACTGGTCGAGCAGTTGTTCTGGTCAATCTACTGTTATGGTCACTGGGCTTTTACTATATAGGATAGCCAAGATCTGGATATAGCCCAAGTATCCATCAGTAGGTGAGTGGATAAAAAAGGTATTATACAATGGAATACTACATGGTCGTAAAAAAGAAGAAATCTTACCTTTTGAGACAGCATGGATGGACCCAGAAATTATTATGCTAAGTGAAATAAGCCAGTCAGAGAAAGACAAATACCACATGATCTCACTTATATGTGACATCTAATGAACAAACTAAACTGGCAAACAAAATAGAAACAGAGGCATGGATACATGGAACAGACTGATAACTGTCAGAGGGGAGGGGAGGGATTGGATGAAAGAAGGTGAAGGTATTTGCCAAAGAACATATATGCATAGCTCATAGGCACAGACAACAATATAGTGCTGGCCACAGGGAAGGGGCTGGGGGCTTGGTGGAGGTGGGCAAAGGAGGCGGGGGATGGGGACATCTGTAATATTGTTAACAATGAAAATAAAGTTAAAAAAAAGAATTAAAGCTTGAAGCATCAGATGGAAATTTTTTAAATGCCCTTGAATTTTCTTTCTCATCCTCAGACCAAATTGTGTCATCTCAATTTCCACTAAAGAAATAGAAATTTTCTGGTGTTGCAACATTTCCCACTGAACACTATAACTTCAGATATTGCGAGATATTAGACCTATAGTGAATATGCACTGTAAGTCACATATTGATTTTCTTCTTTATCAAAGGTGAATTTGAAGGGCTGAAATCCACAATAGTAACAAAGAAAAGAATTTCCTTGCTTCTCATCTATCTGTAAAATAGGAACCATGTTAAAATGCGGCCATTAGGAACAATGATAAAATAACATTATTTAAAACAACAATAACCCAAAACTCAAGCTTTATGAACCATCTTCTCCCCATGCTCACATGCACACAATTTAGAGATCTTTGGGCATCCCAATGTTTATCTCTTTAACATTTATTTTGGCACAGATATAAATAATTGAAGAGGTCATTACTCTGAGCCCTAGTATAGGCAGATACATTGAGGTAGACCATAAACCGCTTTATCTCTAATCCATTTAAAGTTATAATAATAAATTTTAAAAGGTATAAAACAAAGAAAGAAGTGGATTGCTCAATTTAAATGTATAAATACAACAAAACCTGCTGCTGATCTGTTTCTGGATGCTGCAGAAAAATTTGCTTATCTGAAACAAATTTTCAGGTCTAATTAGAGAAATAAGTCCTGCAATGCAAACTTTAATCATAGTGTAACTCAGTGCAAGAATGGATCACATATTTGGATCAACAACTAGAATAGAAGAAAAATTAGTGGGGTTGGTGGTGCAAGAGGATCACAGAGGAACCTCAAGGTAAAATAATAAGGGAGTCTGAAAAATCAACCCAGAGTGGTAAGAATGACCTTGTTCAATATTTTCTGTCCAGCTTGGACACACTCAATAATAAGGATATATATTCACTCATTTCCAACTCCCACTTCCCACCCAGAGAATAAGCTGGAAGGTATTGTCCAGGCTAAGTCTATCTTTTCCTAGAGTTAGAGACCTGGCCTCCATATCTTGTCATCTAGTGAACCTGTTGCTTATGAGTTCTTGTAGGCAGTTCTACAGACTGGCAGTTCCTACTGGATCTGCTCCCCTGGTAC